TTTACCGATCATCATCACAGTCTTCGTTGTCACCACCATCGAGCTCCTCCTTACCACAAACAGCCGCCACCATCAAGCCGAAGCAACCATCACCATCGTAGCTCCATTGCCGTCGGGACCCGAGGAGTTCCGTCGGAGTACCCATCGTAGCCGTCAAGCCCCGTCGAGTTCCGTCGGAGCGTCAACCGTAGCCGGCGAGCCCCGACGCAAGCCATAGCCACCACGGGCAAGCCTCCATTGCCGTGAACAGACACCTTCACCACCGTCCTCTTCCACGAACGAGCAGCCACCTTCATCGTTCCCAAGCAGCCCCTCCACATCGCGTGCAGGCCCCTTATCCCGATCAGCAACCGCAGTCTATCGTCTAGCCGCGAGCCCTCTTTCGAACCCTTACCGTCATCCTTTTTCTCGAGCGGTAAAAACCCTATTGCTTACCCTCTTATGGACTGTTAATTTGAATTCGGTTAATAACGTAAGAATTATTAATGTGTTAAGACTTGATAATCAAATCTCGTATGCTTGCTTAAGGTCCGAGTAATTAATTGTTGAGTTATTGTTGAAATGGAATTGGTCGGAGCCTTGTCGGGCTTCCGAAAGGATTGTTTTAATGATATGTGAATAGAGTTTATTGTTGTTAATTTATGTGTACATAATCGTGTCTGATTGTGTGATAAATGTGCCTAGAATCATCGATTATATGTTGCTTTCGACATGTTAAGAAGTTCAGAAAATTAGTATGATTTCATGTGTAATTGCTGTTTACGTGCTGTCTGTTCGGGAGCAGTTTAGGCCTTTGATACTGTGTTTTCGGTTTTCGAGTTCTGCATATGATATGTAGTTCGTTCAATTGTGTTTACGTGAGCTTTGGAATCGTGCAATTTCGACTTAAAACAAATAAGTTATGATTTTTACAAATTCACTGCGCGAGCAGTTTTTCTTTAATTCGACTGCAGTTAGGTTTAAATGTTTTGTGTGTTTATGATGTGATAATGTGCTCAAATGAATCTGAAGTCTTCATTGAAATTGTACTTCTATGTGTTATCTTTTATGTGGTTCTGGAATCAAGCAAAAATATGGTCCGAGTAGTGAATGATACCCGTTTTCGTAAAACCGCGCATGAGTTTATTTTAAAGTTCTGGACAGTATTTTAGTTTTAAATGTTTGCTAGTTTTGGACCATGAATATGACCTTATATGCTTTTTAGTGCTAAATGAAAGTTGTAGTACCATGTCTTAGGAGCAATATGAGACTTGAATCATATTAATGTGACTTGTATGTTGAAAAATACGCTCGTTTTAAAAATGCAGCACGCGTTAAGTTTTGTCAAAGAATTAAGTGTAATTGCTTAAGTGAGTCTATTGTTTATAAAGCATGCTTATGTGACATGTATGAGCTGTAAAGCATTGAGTGAGATCATGATGAACCTTAGATGATTAGAATAGTACCCGTAAGCAAGCAAGCTAAGAGATCGATTGTCCAAATATTTTATAGTAGGAATGTTTTCAAAAGAATGCAAGCAAGGCGAAGCCAAGCGAGCAAAGTTTTTCTAAAGCATATTTATTGATTATAAGTATAAGTATAAGAATAAGTTCCATGTTAAGAAACTAAGACATGACCCCAATGAATGTAGTTTTACAAGGAGTCGAGCCCTCGAGATTTCTTTCAAGTTCAAGTCTAAGCCGAGCATTCTACTGAAAAGGTGGGGGAAGTTCTACTTTATTAATCCTCTTTAATTATCTATGCTATGAATGAAGTTAAGTAGCTTGCATAGTACCCATGTTTATTCAATGTTCCAACATTCGAGCAAGTCGTTTGTTGCAGTACCAAGGTTCACGGACTATAACTCTAGAGGGTAGCTAAGTGCTAGGGTTAGAGGGTGTAAGTGATTATGTGTAACCTTCGTTGGTGCACTCTTCGAACGGTTGTCCCCGTCGATAAGACTGTACGGAGCCTAGTGAAAGGCTATCTTCCTTCAACCTATTGAAAGGTACTCTCATCAAGCCTATTTGGCCGTGCCATCTGCGAGAGGCATTGTTCTTCCACCACCCTAAAGTGGTATAAGAAGTTTGATGAGTGGTGGGAGTGTGACAAGAATGTAATCGCCTGCATGCAAAGACTCTAGTGTTTAGTTGTCTAATAGTGTTGTAGAAGCAAGAAAGTCTTTCGACTTGTGGGTCACCACTCATCGGGAGCTCATGATTATGTGGAGTATACGAAAACGATTTCATGCTTTATAGTTGATTAGGATTATAATGTAGAGGGATCTCTCACGGAGTAAGTGGAAATGCTCACCCCATTTGTTTTCCACACCCAGGTTTTTGGCGAGCTGGCAAAGGAGCGATGGCGAGGGTGGTCACATGTTTTATGTTTATGATATTTATGTTTTAAAAGCTTCCGCTATGCAAAATTTATTTTATGAAATAAGTCATGGTTCATGCAAGTCAAGTTAAAGTGTAAGTTCTCAAGGCAACGCAATGAATGTTCATGTATGAAATGTTTATGTTCATGAAAAGTTTTTAATGTTTATGGAAAGATCACGTATGAAAAGTTTTTCAAAGTGAGTAGCACCCTGAGTTCCAAATAAAGTTTTCAAATGTTTTACAAAAAGAAAAATTTATTCTAGAAATTCAATGTACGAAAAGCGGGGTGTTACACTAGATCACCGGAGTCTCATGCCATGACCATATCAGGATGATAATCAATCGACAAATGGAAGAAACGAGCTACGAGCATTAGATTGCTAACGCTAGTCGTCTAACCGAGATCAACAAGCATTTAACGGCTCTGTCTACTCAAGCAACCAATCAAGTTCAAGCATTTCCACCATCATCAATCAAATCCAACTTTACTCTAATGAACATTATAAGTAAAACCGGAGTAAAAACCGAAGTAAAGAGCTTTAAAACTAAATACTCATTCTCCCATTGCGTAGACGATGAAAAACAGAGTCAAAAGCTCGAAACTTGAACGAAACCGAAGTCGCCGGAAAATCTCCCGGAAAATAGCATAAGCTTCTAATCTAGAGAGCAAAAATAAAACATAAACTAATTTCCCAAAGAGGAAAAGTGAAAAATGAGAGATGGATGTTCAAAATGCAAAGGAACAAAAATAATTATAGTCTAGCACCAACACACACTAGAACACACACATTAAAAAGGGGCACTCTCGACCTAGCTATGAAATCCGCGAGCATGCAACCCTTCACACACGAACGTGCACGGGAAATGGGGCGGCACGTGCTGGCGAGCGGGCGTGCGTGTGAGCGAGGGCGTGCGTGTGCGCGAGGTATGTTAAAGGCACGTCCGGACTCGATTAAGGAATCTACAAGTTTGACTAGAAATGGCTCGTTCGACATGACTCGGCTTGGCTCGGAATTGACTTTGGAGCACTCATCTCGACTCTCCTCGTTCATCCTCAAAATCATCCTGAAATTTTCACCACGAAACACAGAAAAGTACGCCAAGATATAAAAGAAAACGAAAGACACAAAAACACAAGGAAATCAATAAAATGGACCGTTCGACACTAAAACAAACCTAAAACTGACTCAATAACACAAATAAACACATAAAAATAAGCACAAAAACATAACAAACAACTCCCCCACACTTAGCTTTTTGCTTGTCCTCAAGCAAACAAAATAACAAATAGCTCGAGGAGATAAATCGAACGGTCCAAGATTAACGAACATGCAAAATGAAACTCTCATTATCATTCGGTTATCCCTAAGTCAAAATCCAATACGAGACACGGTCCCCACATAATGAAACAAGCGAAACAAAAACTCGTCCCAGTTCATTTCACGAATGATCACTCGTGTCAAACCCCCTTATTCACATATCCGTGTAAAAACCATAAAAGATCTATAAAACATGAAATAATAAGCATGAGATCAATAAGCCAACTCCCCGATATTCTCTTTTTTTTTTCTTTTTTTTTTTTTATATTTATTATTTTTTTTATTAATGAACCACTTTTTCCAAATGAGAGCCGTTAGGACGATTATTACCTAGGTTTAACCTCGGGGTTTGTCCCTGAGTCGCCTAGGCCAGTTTCCCGTGCTCGTTGACCCGATTTATCTAGAAGACTAACCAAGTCAATAGGAGTCTAATCCTTTCAACTCTCACGAACTCATTTCGTGAGCTTCTCTTTCCAAACGAGGTTTCCGAATGAGATTCCCTAGGTTTAACCTCGAGGGGTTTCCTCGAGTTTTCTAGACCGGTTTCCTGGGCTCATTATACCAATCCAAGAATGGCTCGGAATAAGAGGAGCCTAATCCGTACTTCCTCGCGAACTCACTTTTTATTCTCTTTTTTTTTAGGGAGAGGCACACAAGGATACATCACAATTACAATAACATAATCATCTCAACTCAATCGAAATGTACCACAAGTGAATAGATAACACGTTTACAACGATAATCGAACGTAAGGAAAGCATGCCTCAAGACAACCAATCGAGAACAAACAAAGGACAAAACAATTCCGTTAATCCACATGCGAGTTTCAATGTCAACGAATCATCAATCAATTAAAGGTAACCGTCAAATTCATCAAGTGCATCAAGCATGAATGCTAATAGTGAAACCAATCAATAATCTCGACTCACCACTTAGCTATCTCGACTCTCGAACAAACATCAAGTTTCATGCGGGAGAGATGACACAAACACACAAAAACTCAAATAAAACCAGTTCACGACACGACAAAAATGAAAAAATAAGGCACAAAAAAGAAGAGAGCATCACCTAAACATGCATAATCACGAAAGAGAACATCACCTAAACATGCATAATCACGAAAATCCCTCCCCCACACTTAAAACAAAGCAATGTCCTCATTGCTTGACCAAAAATCATAGGAGAAGGCACATAATCACGTAAGTTCATGCGATAAAAATGAAAACGAGACACAAAGATCAAAGAAACGAGACGAAACACACTCACGAAGACACACAAAAAGCAAAGAAAGAAAGAGAAAATAAGAAAAGAAAATGCGTACTCTACACGGTGGTCGACACCACCGTGTGTCCAATAGTGGTAGTCCGGAGGGAATAGAGGAGGTCAACCGAAGGACATCGAGCGTGAAATGGAACCATCCGAACGGTGTAACATTGAGCACATGAATCGAGAGAGGCCATGTGTGTGTGTCTCGGAGAGATGGTAAACATGCATGCATAAACTCGACGTAGATACACGTACACGTGAAAGCGCAAAAATCGAGCCTCGAAGTCCCTGTCGATCCCCGCCATGGTCCGACACAACTAACTCCGTTGTATGCAACGCATAATCGATTACCGGCGTTTGCCGTAAGTAGGTACCTACAAACTCAAAATCCCGGCAAAAACACAAATATGTGGCACGCCCGGCAAGACGTGCCTAAACACACAAGTCTAACCCAAATATCTCAATACGACTACTCCAGCAAGAGTAGTAATCCAAGCACAACGAATATAATAAAGGTACGAAATACAAATCGAAATCGAGACGTTGGACCATGAAAAATTTTGAGAAAAACGATCTACGGAGTTCGTAAATAGAAAAATATAGAAAAATTAGAGTTTCGGTCGCTGGAAAAGGTACCAAACGAAAGGAATCGATGGTATATGACAAGAAAAGCTCAAAAATACTAACCGGAAACTCGGTGGGTGCTCGTTCGCAGGAAAAAATAGTCGT